TTTTTTTCCTGACCGAACTCCCCCCAACTGAAAAAACGGGTAGAAAATTTCAAGAAAATTTAAAAATCTTTTACCTATTGAAAAAAATCAAAGAAAAAATTTAAAAACTTCGTATTTTTAGCGATCTGTTTGAGACTCGGGGAAAATTTTGGGTATTTTTTATTCCGGACTGTTTTTCTTGTTTTAAAACTTAATTTTTTTTGTACCGTGAAGTTTTTAAGAAATGGTATATTTGTTTTTAAAAAGATTTTAGTTGCGTCCCAGCCCTTCCCTTACCCTTCCACGTGTGGGGTTTCCCTGACTCCCAAAAAATTTCAGAACAAAATACACCCACTGCATTTCCCCAAAAAACTTTCCTTTGGGGGCAAATAATTTAAAAATGTCTCTTTCAAAATCCCAATGATCGCTTCAAAGGCAAGAACAAAAAATCTGCAAAAAAATAGGGCCCCATTCTAAGCCAGAGAAAAAAACCCTGGGGGAAACCGGGGGGATTTACCCCCAAAACGTATAATACCCCCCGATTTTGTAAGACCCAATGAAAAAATGCCCCCAGGGCCCTTCCCAAAGGGGGGGGGGGAATGAAGGGCCCCAAAAATTTATTGATAACCCTTTGTTGACGACTTTGCTAGCCCCCCGGGCTGAGTTACTCGGGCCCCAAAGCCCCCTGGCTTGTACATGTTTGGGAAAAAAATTTTACGGGGGGTTTTTATGGTTTTGGAAAAGCTTTCCGGGAATTTTAAAAGGAGGGGGCCCACCAGGGAAACGCCGTCGCAAAAATACCACTCCTGTGGTAGTTTCTGATCGTCAGGGTACACGGGGAGGGGAAACCCCAAATTGCCCGGAAAAGGCCCATGAAAGGGCCCACTGCGGAGGACACCTTTGGGTGATTTCTGAAAAAAAGGCGTTCCCCAAACAGGTTTTCCCCCTGGGCGGGGAAAGGTGGGGTGGTTTTAAGGGTTTGGGGGTTACATTAAATTTTAGGTCTTAAACCAAACTCCCACCCGCGAGTTCGGGACAGTGGTAAAGGCACAGCCGTGTGCCAAGCAGAATACTAAGCAGGAGGGCAGAGGGACATTCTGAGTGTCGGGCAAGACAATAATGCCCTACAGAAACGGTTCAAAGCCGCTACATGCAGCGAACAGGAGGGGCTGTATGATGTGGGTGCATTTAAAAAGATCAAACACAGTGCCCTCTGTCGCGACGAGCGTTTCTGTAACAACAGACGGAGAACCAAAAAGGGAGCGAGAGAAATTCCTTTAGGGACCCGTATCAGTTCGCCGAGGTCAATTCGAGCAACCGAAGTCTGGGACTCTGGTTGTCAGTCAGGAAGAACTAGAGCTACATCTACAGCAAGATGTACTCGTGATAAAAGAGGAGAGAGCCTCTCGATGACAATCCCAGAGATCGCTTAGCGGTCTAAAACAGCCTTCGGTGCCGAAGGTACCATTTAAAATGGTACCTCCCCTTTGGTCTGAGGTTGAGGACGTTTTGAAAAAAGGCCAGCGGCAAGTCTGCCCCAGGTCCCGAACGGTGTTTCCGTACGTTTTTTACAAGCGTTTGCCCGAAAATCCTTGAAAATGCTTCACGTCTTGTTGAGACAAAGCGTGGATCCGCAATCAGCTGAATATGTCCGAGTGGGTTCAAAGGCAAATGGGGTCTACATTCCCAAAGAGCAGGACTCGAAGAGTCTTTTTCCCAATTCAGGCCCATCTCGCCTGTTGAATGTCGAGGGTAAGATATTCTTCTCAGTCATGGCTCGCCGGCTTCACACAGTATCTGTTATGACTAACAAGTACATAGATAACGAGTGTTTCAGAAGGGGTGGTATTTCCAGGCGTGTTTTTTTCCTGGGTGCCTTGAACACGCGACCATGATTTGGGAGCTATCCTATAGAGGCCCCCAAGACAAATGAGCAGAGAGCCAAGCATGAAGAACGATTTGCACGTTATATGGTTGGACTTAGCCAAACGGCCTAACGGGGCAGTCCCCCCATAGGCTACTGTGGCGAGCCCTTCGCATGTTTTCACGTACCGACACAGATCAGGTTCAAAAATGGTCGTGGCAATATTTCTCTCCAAGTTCGCTTTGCGCTTCTCTACCTCGAACGTTTTACCCGAGGGTGGGGACTGAGTTGCCAGATTGGGATAGCTATGGGCTGTACGATCTCACCATAACTGTTTTGTCATGGGCAAATGCAGATCATGTTAGACGGGGCGTAGGCCGGCTACGGACTGGGCCTTCAAATAGGGGATCAACATGGTGCCCGCCACTAACGCGCATTTATGGATGACACGACTACAATAACTGGGCAGCGAGGAGGTCTGCCCGCACGATCCTGAAAAGATTGGACGCGGTGGTCCAATGGAGGTGCGGTATGCAGTTCAAACCGCAGAAGTCGAGGAGTCTGTCATCCATAAGGGCAGGTGTCGGCGACCAGTTTTACGGTGGCAAGGAACAAGATCCCTACGGTTCTGGAGGAACCGGTGAAGAGCTCGGTCGCGTTTTAACGATTCAAAGTTGACTGACAGAGCGGAAGTCCGGGCGAATACATGGAGTTACTGGCTACAGGCCTGCTCGCGATCGAGCGATGCAGGCTGGTCGGGGAAATTCAAGGTATGGTGTCTCCAATTCATGTTGATTCCGAAACTCCTATGGCCACTGTCCGTCTACGAGGTGACGATGACTGCAGTGGGAAGCCATGTGAAAAGAAATCAACACAGCCTTAAGAAAGTGATTGTGCACGCCTGTCTGACCGAGCGTGGCTCTGTATTGTAAGCAGGCTAAGCTGGTACTTCGTTCAAATCAATAACAGAAGAGTTTAAGAGTCGGCAAGTAAGACTCGCCATGCTTCTGCGCGAGTCTTCAGACCCAAATGTCATCGCTGTACCAGCCCGCTCTAAAGACTGGTACCAAGTGGAGGGTCCTCGATGCGTTAGAAATATGCTCAGAATGGCACTAAAATTGAGAGAGATAATGGGTTACACACAAACCGACCGTCGAGGCCTAGGGCACGGGAAAGTCAATTGTGTGGTCAAAGGCCTCAGCCAAAGAACGCCGAGACATGGTAATACAAACGGTTGAGGGGACAACGAAAACGAGGTTCGGGTTCAGAAAGCAGCCCAACAGTCGCTCGCAGGGCCATTGGGTCAGCCTGGAGAGCGCATTGCCAAGAGTACTCACATGGGGTGAGATCTGGCGGATGACCCCGTGCGACTGAGCTTTATCGTTCGTTCGGCGTACGATGTTTTACCGTCCGGTGTTAATATGGTCAAATGGTCTGCGAACTAACGATCCGACTTGCCCGTTGTGCAAATCAAAGCAAACTCTTGAGCACGTCCTGTCCGCGTGCAGGAAAGCCCTAGGTCAAGGCCGATATACCTGGCGCCACAACAAGGTGGCTAAAGGAGTTAGCAGGCCGTTGTCGACCAGAGGGCTAGAATGAGGGCTAACGCCAGAGCCAGTTCTAGTATCGCCCCCATTCGTTTCCTCAAGGCTGGGCAGGTTTCCAATCGGTAAGGTCAACAAAAACGCATTCGCTCCATCTGTACTAGACTCTGCGAGGGACTGGTTACTGGCGGTTGATCTGCCAGGCCATGAACGGTATCCCGAGTTGATCCGTTAATAAAACCGGCCTGCGACCGGACATCGTTCTCCATTCTGCGCAAAAACGGCAACTCATCCTGATTGAGTTTGACGGTCCCGTTTGAGTCGCGTATGGAGGAGAATCATTTGTACAAGCTTCGAGAAGTACAGTGATTTAGCAGCCGGTTTGAGGAGAAACGAGGCTTACACAGTACGGGTATTTTGCCGTCGAAGTGGGAGCGAGAGGCCTCGTTTCCACTTCGCTCTACAATGTGGGTGAAAAGAATTAGGATTGCGCGGTAATGACGGAAACGAGCACTCAAAAAAAACTGGAGAGGTTGCCGAAAGGGGCATCTAGCTGGCTTTTGGACGCAGCGCAACAACGTAGGGGACGGGCCCTCGGTGAGCTGGTCCGGGTATCTAGTGGAAAAGAGTTTCTTATCCCTTTGAAAAGTCCATCGTGTACGAATTGTCTGCCAGTGTCCCTCTGCCAACTGCTAATAAAAGTCCAACATGTGTCCGGTAAACCAAAGTAAGTTGTCGCTCGGTCGTCCAGGCATGCGGACTGTTTTAATTACGCTGTCGCGGCGGCTTCTTATCTCACAGTAACCTCCTTCGAAACCACCAAGTCGTCTTGTCTCTGGGCCGAAAGTATAACACCATCCGGTAATTCCGTGCAGCGGGGAACCAGCCCTGAGCTTCATGAACTCAGGTGGGCCCACCTCCGAATGCGTTTAGGAATCGTGGGCCGAAACGTGTGTCGAAAGATGATAATTTCTACTGATGACTGTAGATCCCCGCTGTACTTGCTCCCTGTGAGTTTATTCTTATCGGATTTACACCTAAAGCTCAAATTCTGGATCAAGACAGGAGTCCAGGAGTGGAAAAACAACTAAAAATTTCCACTAGAGTTTACAGCAGTACACGCACAGAAGGGGAAAGAAGTTTCACAGGGAGAAGGAGAAGAAAGAAGCCACACAGGCAGATGCAACCAAGCTTCCAAGGAAATATCTATCCTTTTTACGCTGGCTAGGTCCCCCATCTGGTCACCTGCTTCTAAGATGACCTTGGAGAAATGTAGATTAGGTCTTAGTATGATCGGTTGTCAGAGTGTACCGCCACTTTGTGTGATCCGTGGTCCTCGAGCACTACTACATTGTGTTATCCGTGTTCCTTGAGCACTATTACTTTGTGTGATCCGTGTTCCTTGAGCACTACTACTTTGTGTGATCCGTGTTCCTTGAGCACTACACTAGTTTGTATGATCCGTGGTCCTCGAGCACTACTACTTTGTGTTATCCGTGTTCCTTGAGCACTAGTACTTTGGGTGATCCGTGTTCCTTGAGCACTACTACTTTGTGTGATCCGTGTTCCTTGAGCACTACTACTTTGTGTGATCCGTGTTCCTTGAGCCCTACACTAGTTTGTATGATCCGTGGTCCTCGAGCACTACTAGATTGTGTGATCCGTGGTCCTCGAGCACTACTAGATTGTGGGATCCGTGGTCCTCGAGCACTACTAGATTGTGTGATCCGTGGTCCTCGAGCACTACTAGATTGTGTGATCCGTGGTCCTCGAGCACTACTAGATTGTGGGATCCGTGGTCCTCGAGCACTACTAGATTGTGGGATCCGTGGTCCTCGAGCACTACTAGATTGTGTGATCCGTGGTCCTCGAGCACTACTAGATTGTGTGATCCGTGGTCCTCGAGCACTACAAGATTGTGGGATCCGTGGTCCTCGAGCACTACTAGATTGTGTGATCCGTGGTCCTCGAGCACTACTAGATTGTGGGATCCGTGGTCCTCGAGCACTACTAGATTGTGGGATCCGTGGTCCTCGAGCACTACTAGTTTGTGGGATCCGTGGTCCTCGAGCACTACTAGATTGTGTGATCCGTGGTCCTCGAGCACTACTAGTTTGTGGGATCTGTGGTCCTCGAGCACTACTAGATTGTGGGATCTGTGGTCCTCGAGCACTACTAGATTGTGGGATCCGTGGTCCTCGAGCACTACTAGTTTGTGGGATCTGTGGTCCTCGAGCACTACTAGATTGTGGGATCCGTGGTCCTCGAGCACTACTAGATTGTGGGATCCGTGGTCCTCGAGCACTACTAGTTTGTGGGATCTGTGGTCCTCGAGCACTACTAGATTGTGGGATCCGTGGTCCTCGAGCACTACTAGATTGTGTGATCCGTGGTCCTCGAGCACTACTAGATTGTGGGATCTGTGGTCCTCGAGCTTTACCAGCTGTGGTATAGCACCTCTGCCTCCACATACACTTGACAGTTTTCATGTCCTAATTTACCCTATTATGAACTTCTTGTTCCATGTTGAAAAGCATGGCAGGCCAATAATAGATGGAGGGATAATATCCAGAGAGACCTACGCACATGTGGTGTCACCATTTGGAAAGAGAAGGCCAACCAGAGAGATGATGGGAGGTGGGTGATATCTGCAGCAATAAACCTCAAGGGTTCGAAATCGTCTTGTCCGTCGATGTTTTTTAACCAGATAATGCTGAATCTAGTATTCCGTTGAGTTTTCAATCCAGTTTATGCTGTATTTAGTGCTCCGTAGAGCTTTCTATGTACATTATATACTGTATTTAGTATTTCATGAACGCATTTATCGAACAGCTCATGCCTTGAAGGGAGTCGCCGAGGAGTGCAGCTAGACGCTCGCCGCAGATCGGAAGGTCGTGTGTTCGCTCAGGCGGAGCCTGACTTTTTTTATATATGACTTTGACTCCCAGGTCGACCTAGCCTTGAGTGGGTACCAGGTGCAGTCCTGGGAAGTAAAGGCGGCCGGGTGATGCTGACCTTATCACCCATCTAGTGCCGATTGGTCTTTAAAAATATAGGTGTAGCCCTATATGCCCTATACGCCTGAAGGCATGGAAAAGGGATCTTTACTTTTACTTTTTTTGTTATTCCTTGGATGCAATGTTGATCCAACATTACTAACTCCTAGTTGTTGTTGTTTTTTATTTTTTATTTTAACTCTCTCATATTGTATACACAAACTTTAAAACTCGGTGACAGTAGATGAAATGAATGAAAAGGAACAAGGAGACAACCCAGAGCAAATGATATCAATATCTAATTCGCAAGTGCGTTCATTACAAGACCACACGTCGAAACTGAGGCTCTGGCTGAGGACATCACAGGGGTAAGTTTTTGCTGCCCACTCAACTCTCCGGCTAATTCAAGATCGATGAAGGGTATGCAACATATGTATTAAGATGACGATAAAGAATATATTCCTACAGAAAGAAAGCGGCAGACAAATATATTAAAAGGTGATGAAATCGTGGACAGTAAAAGAATAAAAGCGTACACCTATTAAAGAGGGAAATAAAAATGAACGTAGGACGGAGATAAAGAAAAACGGTTCAAGAACAAAGTAAAGAAGTGACGATCTAGTAGAAAAAGCCATACTGTAGGCACCGCAATCTGAGTGATCAATTATCTTGAGCCCACGTCTTCCCGTTCACCCTCTCCCTCAGACTTTTCTCACAAAAATATGGTGAGTGACGTGTAGAATGAATGTGTTGTTTTGAGCACATATGTATTATCAATCAATCAGGTGCCGTCTCCACAATGAAGGTTGGCTGCAATGGATCTCCAACAAGCCCTGTCTGTTGCCCTTGATGTACACTCACTCATACTGCTGTTCGTCCATCTCTTGAAGTTATCCTCCCACTTGTAACGCTGTCTGCCTTTTGCTCGCCTACCTTGAACCTCTCCCTCTAGGATGATCTTTACAATACTGTTATGTCTTTTAATGTGGCAAAAATATTTCACTTGTCTCTTTTTTATTTCACCTAGCAACTCTCTTTTCATTCCCAATTTCCTCATTACCTCTGTATTTGATAGCTTTTGTTTCCATGAAATACTACCTAATCTTCTGTATATCCA